TGAGCCACAGTCACCAAGCCTAGAATTTATGATAGGAAGGAGTATGGCATGATGGAAAACATGAGCTTTGGTGCTACACACCCTGTGTTCAAATCCCAGATCTGTCACTTAGCATGGATGACTTGGGCATGTTACTTAATTTCTCTGCTACGCTGTCATGAATATTAAATAATCAGATAATGTCAATGCAGTGCTTGACATACAGGAGGCATACAGAAGGGTGATGAAATGCGTGGTACTTCTTTGTCCTGTAAACCAGCCAGTCTATACCTCTCTGAGTAAGCAGTAGAGATTAGTGTAACTATTACTTGGTAGTTCTGTTAAGCTCCATTTCAGGTGGAAAAATTGAGGTCCAGGGAGACAAAGCACTTGCCCTAGGTCACAAAGAAGGCAAATGGCAGAGCCAATGGCCCCGGAATGGGAGCCAGTGTGACTCCTTGTTATAGCTTTGGGCAAAGAATACCCTTTTGTCCTACTCACAGGTCAGACAGACCAAGCCTGTGCGGACAGACAGGTCTACAAACAGTGCCCACTGCTCTGACACCTGGGAGATGGCGAATGGGATGATGATCTCAGCTGGAACATGGAACTGGAGGGCGTAGGTGAAGAAGATGCCAATGGAGTACATCAGCTTGACCGACTGGTACAACCTGCAGACAGATGGACAGGGCAGGAAAGGTGATGTGGCACTCAGGACTCACTCATTGCTCGGAAGCTGCTACAGGTTTAGTATCCACTCCCAAAATCCCCAACCCGAAATGCTCCAAAATCTGAAACTTTAGGAGAACTGACATGACATACAAAGGAAGCACTCACTGGAGCATTTCAGATGTCCGATTTTCTGATTAGGGATGCTGAACCAGTAGGTATAATGCAAAGACTCCAAAATCTGAAATACTTCTGGTCCCAAGCATTTCAGAAAAAGGATACTTAACGCATTATTTGCCATTGAGTTATAGAACTAGCTGCTGTCTCATGACTCAGGCCAGAATGGCCTCCAGGGCTACCTGGGAAACTATTAAAAGTGCACCTTTTTGGAGATGCAGAGTCAGCAGACCTGTGACCCAGGAATCTATGGCTTTCTTTTAATTTTTTTTTTTTTTTTTTTGAGACAGAGCCTCAAGCTATCCCCCTGGGTAGAGTGCCATGGCATCACAGCTCATAGCAACCTCCAACTCCTGGGCTCAAGCGAGTCTCCTGCCTCAGCCTCCCAAGTAGCTGGGACCACAGGCGCCTGCTACAACGCCTGGCCATTTTTTAGTTGCAGCCGTCATTGTTGTTTGGCGGGCCCAGGTTGGGGATTCGAACCCGCCACCTTAGGTGTATGTGGCTGGCGCCTTAGCTGCTTGAGCCACAGGTGCCGAGCCTTTCTTTTAATTTTTTAATAAAGTAATATCTGCAAAGACTAAAATTTACAGTGCAAGAGGGATATGGTGAAAAGCATCCTTCCCACTCTTGATTTCTAGTTTCCAGCTCCTCTTTCCACCGGCAAATCACTTGGAGTTTTCCTGTGGCCCCTCCAGACACAATCTGTGTAAGTACAAGCCTATATAGATTGTAGGAACACACACACACGAGTACACACATGTCCGCGAATGCACACGTACACCGCGATATTCCTCCACACGCTGTGGAACTCCTTTCTTTTCTTCACCCCCTCCTTCTTGAATATTGTTCCCTACCTGTACTCATAGGCTCTTCTATTTAATAGCTGCTTGGTATTCCAGTGGCATGGATAGATCATAACTTTTTTAATTGATCACCAATTAATAAATATTTAGATTACTCTGTCTTTGTTCCAAGCAAATAACACCATGAAGAACACTTTGTACATGCATCTATGCACTTATAGTATACAACTGCAGAAATAGAAATGCCAGGCAAAGCTTTACGTGATTTTAAATTTCGATAGCTATTGACATATTGCCTATTTGTTGTCCTACCATATAAAAGGACTGTCATCCAAAACAGTGTGTGAAGGATTGCTGGTCCTTTTTTTTTTTTGCAGTTTTTGTCTGGGGCCAGATTTGAACCCACCACCTCCAGTATATGGGCTGGCGACCTACTCCTTTGAGCCACAGGCACCATTTGCCATTGGGTTTTTTAAACTGGCATTTCTGTTATCTTTTTAAGCACCTTTTTATCTGTCTGGCCATCATTTGTTTTATTTGTCTGTGAAATGTTTGCCCATGCCCTTTGCCCATTTCTTCTCGGGTCATTAGTCTTTTTGTTATTGGGAAGAGATTTGTTTTTAAGGCTCTCCTGAAGAATCTAATGCCCAGCTAGCTTCACATCAGTAGGTTTGAAATCCTGATGGAGTTCAATGCCCACATGTTCTCGCTGAGGTCCCAGGAAGGAAAGTACCCTGCTCAAGGTAGCTGACACAGCTCAAATTGCTCAGAATGAGAACAACATATTTGGATGATGTCTTGTGTAAAATGAGGTACAACTTCAAAGAAATCCTACATTTCCTATCTCATCTAGTCATTATCTCCATACAGTGATGTGGGTGGGTGAGTCTGGGGACATTTTTCTCATTCTGCAGCTCTGACTTTATGAGAATTGAAGGCGCTATCACCCTACTCATTTCAGAAAGACCAAGGCTGTGGGGACCTGTGATGATGATAATAGCTAGCACTCAGTGAGAGCTTGCTCTGTGCCAGTCACTCTCCCAAGCAGTTTCTGTATGTTAAACCAACTAATCCTTACACTCACTTCATGAGGTAGCCTGGCAACCATTGTCCTCTTCACCAACTCCTTCCAGGCATGTGGTGGGATTGTACTTTCCTGCCCTCCCAGAGTGAGGTGTCATCATGTGACTTGCTTTGACTATTGAAGCGTGAGCAGGGAAGATAGATGTATGTCACTTCCAAGGACATTTTACCAGCTTCCTTGGAAAGGGCATGATTCACTGTACTCTCTGCCTTGGCAACTAGCAACATTTTAGAAAGTGGCTAGGTCCTGGAGTGGGGGTGGGGCAGATTAACCTTAGCCATCCCATAAGGGATGTGTAGCATGAGAATAGATTTAAGCATTCAGATGTTCAGCCTTTGAGATTTCAGAGTTGCTTATTATTGGAGCATAACATAGCTTGCCCAGACTGATACAAATAGGGCTTGGTGCTGATGAGGATGGAAACCAGGCTTACCATACTAGGTAGCTAGCCCAAGGTCATATAAGAGCTAAGATATAAATCCCATGAGTCAGCTTTAGAACCTTTGCTCTTAAACACTTGGGTACACTGGTTACTTAGTCACATGTACCCAGTATGGCTAACAATGATAATAACTAGCAGTTGATGAGTACATGCTATGTACCAGCCCCCCAAATGTTTCCTGGATGAAGGATTGAATACAGGAACTCCAGACCAAGTTCCAGGTAGAGCACAAAAATGACAGCCTACATGAATTTCTACAACTGGAGGCCTGAGGATGAGTGCATGAGTACATTAGACTTTTTGTTGTTGCTGTTTCTGTTTCCCAAACAGTCCCAGATCATTTATGTTTTTAGAGACTTGGCACTTTAGAGTCAGACAGATTGGAATCAAGTTTCAGCTTCTTACAAACAATGTGAGCCAGGCAAATTACTTGCAGCTTTTCCAAATATCAATTCATTCCTTTATTAACTGGAGTTAATAATAATGCTAACTCATAGGGCTGTTGTAAGAATTAAATAAATACACAGTATCTGGATTATGAAACTTACCATTATTATAATGAATGCTAATATTAACAGCCAGGATTTATTGGTGATTATAACTCCAGGGCATGCCCCATTCTGCTGCTCAGGCTCAGATCCCATGTCTTCCCCTACCCCACACCCAGGAGGGCAGGGACGTACCAGCAATTGGGCAAGTTGAGGGTGATGCTGGCCTGGGTATCTGACCCAAACTTCATATACCCCAGTGTCCCCAGGCAGATGTAGAGGCTGATGACAAGTGACATTCCCAAGTACAGAACAAAGGAAAACTGTTGTGGATTCTTCATTTGGTTTTTGAGAGGTAGAACCTGGGGATGAAAAAAATTAAGGGAAGATGAGATAGAAAGAGATGTGGCCCATTGTTGAGGAGCCGGGTCCTCCCCATAAGCACAGATGTCCTTCTCCAGGGGGTTCCAGACTCAGGAAGGGGCCTATCTACATGGCCACATCCCCTTTCATTTTTTCTCATGCTTTCTATTCCCAGAAATGCCCTGCTCCACCTCGGCTGACTAGTGAGTTGTCACTCAGCCTTGAAGGTACATGGGAGCAGTATGCATCCTGTGTAGGGGACTGACTTTCTCTCCACCAGGAGATAATATTTTGCACTTTTCATAAATACTGATTCTTTAGACATGTGGAATCACAGCTGGCCACTCTAAAGAAGCACAAGGGACCACTCACTCAAGCCCCGCAGTCTTACCATACCGACACCTTCAAATGTGAAGATGGCTGTACCAAAGAACAGCACAAAGGTCTTCCAGTTTGCCGCCAGAGGTAGGTTGCTGGGATATGGAATCCCCTGAAAAAAAGAAGAACAAAGGGCATTGGCTTTGACCCCAGATCTTTGCCTGGTAGACAGCTGGGTCGCCCCTGACCTCAACAGAGAAAATCAGTGTTAGCAGCACCATGAAGATATGAGAGCTCAGTCAGCCTTCTCATTTTCTTAAATGGTTATTTATTTTTTAATTTTTATGGTGTTAAAATACACATAAAACTTAACCAATTTAAGCATTTTTAAGTATACAATCAGTGGCGCATTAAGTGCATTCACTTTGTTATGTACCCATCACCATTATCCATCTCCAGAGCTTTTTCATCATCTCAAACTGAAACTGTGTCTGTTAAATATTTCTAACCCACTACCCAGCCTCCTGGTCACTTCTTTGATTTTACTTTCTCCATGAATTTAACTATTCTAGGTGGCTCAGATAACTGGAATCATACACTATTTTTCTTTTTGTGTCCGGCTTATTTCACTTAGCTTGATGTCTTTAAGGTTTGTTGATGTTGTAACATGTGCCAGAGTTTTCTTCCTCTTTATGGCTGAATATTGTTCCCGTCTATGTGAGAGTGTGCGCATGTGTGTGCAGACAGTAGAACTTCTGCAAATTGACCACCCAAGGGACTCTAACTAACTGATCAATGTACAGAGGTGGTCACCATAAGGAACTAGGCCTACTGGACTAACATGTAGGCGCGGTGCTTGTCCACTCTATGAAAATTAGGCCAACTTCAGGAGACAATCGGTATTAGGGAGGTGGTCAGCTGTGGGGGTTACTGTATATACAAAAGTTTGTTCATCCATTTATCAGTGGATGGACACTTGAGACATTTCCATCTTTTGGCTGTTGGGAACCCTCCCATCATTACACATGGAGAAAGAGAGTCACAGGGAGGAGAAGGGACACAGCCCAGGCCACGGTTTAAGTTAGTGACACAGCCAAGAGAAGAAGTCAGGTCTCCTGGTTCCCAGTCCTCTAACACCGCTTTACAATTATTTCTTTCAAGCTGTGCAGTCTGCTAGCTGGTACAGCGACTATCATGGATAGAGGGAGGAATGATTATTATTATTATTATTATTTTGCAGGTTTTTTTTTTTTTTTTTGGCCAGGGCTGGGTTTGAACCCACCACCTTGGCATATGGGGCTGGTGCTCTACTCCTTTGAGCCACAGGCACCGCCTGGGAGGAATGATAATGATGATGATGATGATGATGATGATGGTTATTTTGCAGTTCTTGGCCAGGTCTGGTTTGAACCTGCCACCTCCGGCATATGGGGCCGGCGCCCTACTCCTTTGAGCCACAGGCGCCACCCAGGAATGATTATTTTAACAGACTTCTGTGGTGGGTGCAATAATGTCTCCTCACAGATCTTCACATCCTAACCTCTAGAACTTGTGAATATATTATGTTACATAGCAAGGGAGAATTAAATTTTTGGATTGAATCAAGGTTGCTAGCTGGGCGTCGTCGCTCAGTGGTTAGCGTGCTGGCCCTGCACACCAGGGGTGGTGAGTTCAAACCTCACCTGGGCCTGATTAACAACGACAACAACAACAAAAAAGCATGGCTATCAGCCAAACTTAAGATAAAGAGATTATCCTAGATTATCTGCGTGGGACAAAAGTCTCTAAAAGTGGAAGGGGGAATTGGAAGAGAAGATGAGAGGGACAGCAGCATGGATAAGACTGACCTGAGGTTGCTGCCTGGGGACAAGGAAGGAGCCCCAGGCCAACGCCTGGGGGGCAGCAGCGAGAAGCCAGAGAAGGCAAAAAACCAGGTCCTCTCCCAGAGCCTCCAGAAAGGCATGCAGCCCTGCCAGTGAGACCTCCAGAACTGTACACTAAGTCTGTGCCGTTCTAATCCACTAGATTTGTGGCAATTTGTTACAGAAGCAACAGGAAACTAACACAACTCCAAAGACTTTTAGACTCAAAAAAGTGAAACTATAATGGAATTTCATGGCCTGTGATGAGAGTATAGCATTGACTTTGAAGGCAAATTGCAACTAGTGAAAAAGTTCCTTTGTTCATCAGTTTCCTTGTCTATAAACTGAGTATAAAGATAGTAGTTCTTGGTATGCTCAGGGGATTGGTTCTGAGACCTCCCTGGATACCAAAATCTACAGATGCTCAAGTCCCTGATATAAAATGGTATAGTATTTACATAATAACCTATGTATATACCCTCTTATATACTTTAATTCGTCTCTACATTACTTGTAGTACCTACTACAATGTAAATCTGTGCAAATAGTTATTATACCATATTGCTTTTTAATTTGCATTATTTTTTGTCGTTCCATTATTTTCAGTTTTTTCCTCCCAAATTTTCCATCTGAAGTTGGTAGAATCCACAGATATAAAACACATAGATAGGGAGGGCCAATTTTACGTCTAAAATAGTATCATTATAAAGATTCAATGAGCTAATATATGTGAAGAACTTGGCACCAAGTAAGTAAAATTCCTTTATCGTTCATGTTTCCCCCATCCACCTACCACTTTTACAATTTTTGTTGGTTATTTGACCGACGTTTATTTCCCCAAGTGAATGCAGCCTCTGTGACAGCAAACACCCTGTTTTTACTTACCGCAGAACCCCCAGCCCTTGCACAATACCTGGATCACAGAAGGTATTCAGTAACTGTTTGTTGAATGACTCATTGTTACCCAATGATGTTGATGATGGTGATGATTAGCTCTTACAGCTTATGGGGAAGAAGTGTTCCTAGTTGTCACACTAGCAGGAGCTGCTCAGAGCCAGGGATCCTCTTCTTCACCTTCACGTGCCCATGTGCTAACAACCCTCCCCAGGTGTCTCAGAGACCCAAGACCCTGACTACCTTCTGCAGTGGTTTCAGGCACAGACCTGCATGATATACTCAAAGATGAGAGCCATGCTCCCCAGGGTGGTGATGTTGGCCAATGTCGAGAAGAAGGACAGCACCTTGAGGTTCTGGATGAACACCAACAGGACCAGGAAAGGCAGGATCGTCAGCATGTAGAAACGAATGTCCAGGACCGGGGTCAGCAGCAGGATCTTCCTGGGTTCGCAGCTGTTGGAGGTCACCTGGGCTTCTTCTACCATCTGACACACGGCATAATGAAAGGTGGTGCGGTTAGGGAAGCCAGATAAAATGCAGGGCACCACTTGAATTTGAATTTTACATAACTGACATAACCTTTTAGTACAAATACGCCTTCCAATATTGCATAGGACATACTTATAGTAAAAAGAAAATATTATTTGCTACTTATCTGAAATTCATATTTACCTGGTGTCATCTACTTTTATGTGCCAAATTTGCCAACCTTATCTGTAGTGCCTGTGATTTCAACTATCAGAAACCCTTAAAATCTTAAAGCCCTAAAGATGAAGGGTCTTTTTGTCATCTAGTCCAACATTTTCTTCCCCACCAGA